GGAAGTCCGACACGTACCTGGAAAACTACACTGCACAGCTGACTCTTTGCAAGAAAAATACCTGAGGGCACAGCTCAACCAAGGATAGAACAACAAGAAATGAATACCTACATCTCGAGTGTAATGGAAGCACTCCCGACATCAAATTCCAGATTGAAACAAATACAATAAGCTGAAGATGATGATGAGGTATGCAAAGAAGTGAAGAAGGGCCCGGGCAGTAAAACCATACTGGTCAGTACAAGAGAACTCACAATTGTTGGCGGGATATAATTCAATAAAAGGAACAAGACTAGTCATTCCGTCCAGTCTTCAACGCCAAACCCTTGCCCAAATACACCAAGGTCAGTCACCAAGGGATTAACAAATGCAGAGAACGAGCCAAGATATCCGTTTGGTGGCCATGACTTAGTGCACAAATCAAAACTATGGTTGAAAATTGTACACCTTGCAGAAAGTACAGACAACAGCATGCAGAACCATTTATCCCAACGCCACTCCCAGCAAGACCACGGCAACTGATCGTAACAGACTTGTTTTATTTTAGAAAAGGTGACCTATCTACCAGTGGTTCTGGATATGTTGAAGTTGTGGCACTAACCAAAGATACAAATTCAACGAAGATAATACAAACTTTAAAAGCTATCTTCGCCAGGCACGGTATTCCGGACGAAGTACGTTCCAACAATGGGCCCCAATACCACAGTGACGAGTTCGCCCAGTTTGCAAACAAATGGGAATTCAAGCATATTACCAGTAGTCCTCGCTATCGTCAAGTGAATGGAGAGGTCGAACAAGCAGTAAGGACAGCTGTGAAAAATATCTTGAAGAGGGAAAAAGATCCCGCAAAAGCAATGTTAGCAATCACTTGCATATAGATCAACATCATTAGCAAGCGGATATTCGCCAGTAGAACTTCTCATGGGGAGAAAAAATAAAATCAACAATACCAATAATTGCACAACAGCTCACACCGCGACTACCAAACCAGGAACTTTTTTAAGCAAAGGAAGAAGAATAAAGATTGAAACAGAAGAAGAATTTTGATAATCGCCATGATGCTCAAACAATGAAGCCTTTGACATCAGGATCAACAGTTTATGTAACAGACATGGACTGTAAAGGAACAGCAACCAGAACATCTAACAAACCAATTGCAAGATCATATCTGGTGGACACTCCTACAACGATCATGAGAAGGAACAAAGCACAACTGCGTAGTATTCCAAATGACACCACAGTTCAGCACACTGCCATGAAGCAAGAGAAACAGGAAAACCCGCCTTCGTCAGCGAATACGAAAAACAGACCGAAAGAATAAAAACACTATCCTTAAAAGCTAGAGAGAACCTTGGACTGAATAATTAAGTACCATATGGCATAAGCTATGAAGACATAACAATACAGTCGTTGACATTATATTGACATCTCGAAGAAAAGGGAGATGTAGTGTGATCACTGAGTGTGATCTAGTAAATATTAACCATTTAACAATTAGACAACGAGTCCGAGTTGTCTAATTGTTTTAGTATACACCCTGTACCTAGATATATTAGTTTCGAGAAAATAATCGACACACCGCAATTACACCGAAAAATAATTTAATTAATTCAATTTTATATGGTCGCGCAAGCGAATTTTTCCCAAACGTTCACCATCACGAATAGACAGTGGTTGAGTAGCCAATCAGAATGTAGGATTTGTAATAGACAATAGTCGGGTGTATACTAATAGCTAATACTAATGATTTTTATGAACTAATGACGTAACATATATATGATGTATATAAACTAAGTGGATTGATATTAGAAGGGATTATTGTTCGAGACATATTTGCACAATTAACAAAAGAAATTCGACCACATTGCACCCCCTCTACGCGAAATTGATTACTTATAAGTGCATGCGTCTGTATATGCTGTATAGCCTTGCCCCACCATCTGTGCAATTTGTTCAGCAAACGTGGTGAACTCCATGACTGTGACACCAGAAATAAAGAGCTACTACATAATTTATATTATTCCCTTATATACGAGAATTGCATCAGCCCAGAAAAGCTATCGGTTCAGAGCTGTTGGAATTTTAATTATAACGATAAACTCCTTTTACGAAAATTCAAAAAAAGTTGAGAAGCAATATTACAATTTAAATTTAAAAAAATATACTGACGCCTACAGCGCATGAAAACCATCTTTTTTCCTGGCAATATATTAAAAAATTTCTTCAGTAACGGGCAAATACGATCATATGCATGATACATAGCTAGCTCTCACAAACACGCAAGTTAACTCAGGTCACACCATTTCCCCTTGGCCTCTCGGACCATAATAGTTTCCATAATGGTGTCCCATGAAATTTCAAGTTCATACTTTCAAATCCAGCAAGAAAACTGTGATGAACATTGAACGGCCGGACGATCGTCCGAGAGGAAAATTTGAACTTGGTAAGGACGTAAGATTGGTCTTTGAAAATGCTGCAAGTAGAATCAAATCACAACTTCTTGTTGATTTAATTAATCACCCGCGTTAATACAATCACGCTCCAAAAGCAAGTTAAACTTCATGTAAACGATCCGCCGTGGATCACTCCAGACTTAAAGAAACTAATCAAAACTCGTCAGCATGCTTTCTCAAACGGCGAGATTGAGACATACCGCTATCATCGTAACCGAGTTAACAGGTAGATAAAAAATCTTAGGAAGAAATATTTCACTTTTAAAGTTCAGCATTTTAAGGATACAAAGCCAAATGAACGCGTTTAGCATGCAGGGATGGTATAACGTCCTGCGGTTCAGAGACTCTGCATACTCTCCAATTGCGGATGTAAGGTATTAAGGTGGCTCGATACAATTTTTCGAAATTTTTAGATGCACTTTTTAAACAGGGATATTAAGCACCTAAATATTTCACTATAAGGCTAAAAGTTAATACACATTGCAGGAGACATATCTAGAGCGAAAATATTCTCAGAACTTTTGCCTGGCACCCGTTACCATGGCAACAGAGACGTTTCAAAATGGCCGCCAAACAGGGTTTAATCGTGTTTATATCACAAACGAGTTCGGTGACCCCCAATTTTTTTTTCATTAAACGTTTACGCCATAAATGCTTTATCTATAAAAAAGTTTTGAAAAAATTCTAACATGGGGAATTTTTTCTATTTACAAAAACGTTATTTTTGCTTATTAAAAAATTCCCCCATGTTAGAATTTTTTAAAACTTTTTCATAGATAAATAATTTATAGCATAAACGTTTAATGAAAAAAAAATTGGGGGTCACCGAACTCGTTTGTGATATAAACACGATAAAAACTTGTTTGGCGGCCATTTTGAAACGTCTCTGTTTCCATGGTAACGGGTGCCCGGCAAAGGTTCTGAGAATTTTTCCGCTCTATATATGTTTCCTGCAAAGTATATTAACTTTCAGCCTTATAGTGAAATATTTAGGTGCTTAATATCCCTGTTTAAAATGAGCCCAAAAAAAATTCGAGAAACTGTATCGAGCCACCTTAATTCACTTACGCTAAAGGAAATCGCGAAACTGATAAATGAAGATTTCCCTGACCGATGCAAACTTTAAAAGGGCTTCTCCTCCTCGTTTTGAACTGGCGCAGCTGTTTTGTCTGTTTTGCCAAGTCATCATGCAATCCCATTTGTCTCCCTTTCTCCTTTAAGGTTGTTATTAATAATCACCTCCGACTGGGTTCGTCAACTCAAACCATTTCTAAAATTCCTGAAGAGTTTATAGTGGAATTATTCATTCTTATCAAGGTTCTAAACATATTATTGATAAAGGGCTGATTATGTGGAGTATTTTTAGCTCGGGCTGAACTTACAGCCCGGTATTGTTCTGAAATGTCAATAAAATATACCTCGCGATTATATGGTAATAATTTCATCCCGGGCTGAAGTTTCATGCAGCCCGGTTTGAGCTACCTGGGCTGGAATTTAGTGTTGTCAGTATCATGTAATCGTAATCAAACTTAAACCCGAACAGAAAAATTCGCATTGACAATGCTTTTTCGTTTGTTTATTTCATTTTTATGTGCAATCGTATGTATAGTTAATGATTAAAAGTAAAGTTATTGTCATTCGGCATTTTAAAGGGCTTGAAGAATCGAAATAGGTCTGCTACCAGCCTTTACAAACTTAGCCCGGGCTGAAACTTGCCATGTAATTTAAAAATACTTTATGCCCGGTTTCCCGCGCTTGAACTTGTTTTGAATTTTTGTTTTCTATAGGCCCATTTTTATCATGTGTTTTTCTCCCATGCAAAACATGTGTTTTCTCCTATTTGTTTTTGTACTAACTCTCCTGACGAAGGGCTGAATTTAAAATTAAACCTTTTAATTTATTTTGCCTAACCCTAGATCCGGTGCACATTCTTTACCATGATTAATAAATTTGAAATGCTCATCGTCTACAATTCGTTGATTAATTTGTCTCTACACATAATTATGTAAGTTGATTAGCACCTTGCAAGTGTTTCACCAAATGTTTTATCAAATTCAGTAAATACACATGTTATACCATTGAACAAAATCTTGGGAAACGTTGAACACCAAATGATAATGGTTGAACGGTTTTTTAAACAATTTTCATATTTATATATCCCATCGAACGGGAATTTCGAACGTTTTCCAAAATCGTTTTCGTTTAACGAAAGGCTGAAGCGTTCCGTTCAAACAGGCAAACGAACATCCGATGAACGAAATTAATTTTTAAAACGAACTGAAAAGCGTTAACGTAAGTTTTCCCGTGGAAGGTCGTATACGTATATATAGGACCCGTCTATGGCAACTGTAGTAATTCAAATTTTGTTACATGTTAACTTTTGTTCCGTGTACTAAGTATATTGTGTTGATAGCGTTAACCCGTGTCTTCCCTTGTTTTTACTATTGGGTTTATAGTTTTACTACTGGGTTTACTGGGTTTATAGTTTTTTAGGGTTCGAATATTAAGTCATTTAAAATTAAAGAGAAATATACCTTTATTTTTTAGGTGGTTAAATGATGTCCTTTCCAGGGTGATATTTCAAACAAAATTGGTAATAAATCGAGCCCAAAGAGATAATCTGGCAGAAGATCTTGCGAAAGCTATTTTTATTTTAGCGATGATTGACGGTGAACGCATTAAACGGGTTAAACGCCTGGAAGAAGAGTTTGAAAAAATAATCGTGAAAACAGTTACCGAAATCATAAAATACCTTTCTTCAAGCACTTTTCAGAAAAATTTCAAGTCATGGAATGAAGCTGAATGTCCCAAAGCACAAAAAACCTGGGAAGAAACAGAGGAAAAAATTTCTGAAGCGTTAAAGCAAAGGCTTACAGTAGAAATTAGAAAGTGGGAAACTCAGAATCATGTTATTGAAAACGCTCGGAAACTATTGTTCAATCAGATAACAAGGGAAAGAGATAATCTTCACGCGCTTATACAAAATGTGGAAGATTACGTTGTTCAAGATTCTGTTGAAGGCATATCTCCAGAAGACGACTTAGAGCTGACAACAGGAGAAAAAATTTTGGTCGGAGTACTATCTCCAATTTTGGTACCTATTGCACTGGTTGCCGGAATTCTCAGCCTACCTGTCTTAGGTGTAATTGCAATAAAAAACGCCGTTCAAACATCGGGAAATTTTAAGGAGTATAGTAACGATAAACCGAAATATATGAAAAACAAAGCTATTGATTTTCTTTGTCGTTCAATCGTTCCAGGTAAGTTTCATGCCTATGTCTTACGGCAATTTGAAGAAATACGCAACATCCTGGACGAGATAAAGAAAGAAATTCCAGCGATGATTGCCGCTGACAAAGAATTCATTAATCTACTTATTGAGGAGAGTGGGTCGATATTGCAAGATGCCAAGAAATACGCCCCTGTATATAAAGAATGCTCTCAAATAAAGGATGATTTATCCATTTTTGCCATCAATGGGGTTTTCCTTAGTGATATCGACTTTAAAAAACTAAAGTACACTGAGGAATCCTCACTTGGTCATGGGTCGTTTGCAGATGTTTTTAAAGGAAAGATGACAACACAGGAAGGAGAATCGTTGGATGTTGCTGTTAAAGTCTGTAAAGAAGCGCTCACAACACAGAATGCTTCCATGCTGTTAGCAGAAGAACAAATGTTGAGGTATGTTATGTTATGTTATGTTATGTTGTGTTGTGTTGTGTTGTGTTGCGTTGCGTTGCGTTGCGTTGCGTTGCGTTGCGTTGCGTTGCGTTGCGTTGCGTTGCGTTGCGTTGCGTTGCGTTGCGTTGCGTTGCGTTGCGTTGCGTTGCGTTGCGTTGCGTTGCGCTGCGCTGCGCTGCGCTGCGCTGCGCCGCGCCGCGCCGCGCCGCGTCGCGTCGCGTCGCGGCGCGGCCGGCGCGGCGCGGCGTGGCGTGGTGTGGTATGGTGTAGTATGGTGTGGTGTGGTGTGGTGTGGTGTGGTGTGGTGTGGTGTGGTGTGGTGTGGTGTGGTGTGGTGTGGTGTGGTGTGGTGTGGTGTGGTGTGGTGTGGTGTGGTGTGGTGTGGTGTGGTGTCGTGTCGTGTGGTGTGGTGTGGTGTGGTGTGGTGTGGTGTCGTGTGGTGTGGTGTGGTGTGGTGTGGTGTGGTGTGGTGTGGTGTGGTGTGGTGCATGGTGTGGTGTGGTGTGTGATATTAGCTAAACATTGTTTGAGACCTTATTTTAGGCATGCATGGGTTAATATTAAAAAGATTTTTGTGCCGCACAGCTTACTGTAACCTGAAAACTATCATTAGGTAGAAACACTGAGCTATAGTTATAATTCCTGGAAGACTTGCTCGCGGCCAGAAAGTGAAGCAAAAAAGATGGCGGATTTTGAATTTTGCTGACGCCACATGGTCCCCTTTGCCTATGGTTATTACCACTGACATACCGCGATACAAAGTCAAAAACGTGTCCGTCACCCTCCCGATTTTATGAAAATATTTTCGGTTTTCGGTATTGTTTTCGGCATATATTTTCTCCGCATTTCATCTAAAAAGTCTCTTTTTCCCTGTTCAGCAAGTTAAATGGAGAAGTGGTTTCTTGCTCTACTTATGCTGCTGTGAATGGCCTAATTCACCTATCGGGATATTAATTTTTACCTCAGGTAAGACGGTTTTCATTACATTCTCGTTTTTCGCCTTTGGTATAGACAACTACCAAAGCGGCTGTTGCAGTAACTCCTTTGAAATTAATGTTAAAAACGGCAAATATGCTTCAGCCTTTTTGATCAATGGTACATGACTTAGTTACGCTAAGAAAAACTATATTTTATGAAAAAGGGTCAATAACTGATCTTTTGAGTTTTTGGTATGCTGTTTTTTTATTAGAAAACGTATAATGAATAGAACTCATATGGGATTTGAAATTTGAAATGTCATGCATTGAAGCTCTTACTCATATTTAATGCCAATGAGTATTTTCAGGCAAACAATTAAGATAAATCAATATTCAATCCTTCCAGTGAATCTACTTGTCTCTCTATTTCCTTTTTAGTCTATTTTAGATGAATTTAAAACATGATCACTGAGTGAGTGATGATACAAAATATTTCACTGTTAGATTTCAACAGAGGTTGTTAAAAGTCAATAATTATGGCTTAATAGACTTCTTGGCATCTTGCACCTTGTTAATCAAGCTACAAGCTTTATTCATGCATTGACTGAGTAGTTTGTTTTCAATTTGCAGCAACTTTTATAATTTTCTGGACAGTTTTACCCTCCCTACCATTACAAGGAATATTATCATGGGGCTAATCAGGAATTGAATTTTAATAGATTATAGACTAATGAAGGAATGAATAGGCTCAGTTGCATTTTTATTAATTCATAAGACATTTGTTTGAAAGCACAACTATTGCCATAATCTTCTTGGTACCATATATAATCAAATTTTTGTTATTTACCATAGCCTTTCCTGGCATTATCTGGAATATGATTCCGGCATATCAAATCCTTGAGTCAAGCAGGGAACCATTTGAAATTGCATTACTTGGGATACAGTAAGATAGGGATAACTTATAGCTATAATGACCTAAATGAAAATATCCTATGCGAATATGACTTGAAGTACTATAAAATCAGCCGCCCAGCATCTTGCATGAGTTTTGGCCTTTGTTTCCTTGGGTTATGCATGGGCTGAAATGCATAAGCATGATGTTCTAAGGAAAACATCACATAACCACATATTTTCTGCCTGTAAGCTTTAGTCGGCGATTGATAATCCAAATTTCCGACAAGACTCGAAAAATATTCAAGTATTTTTAAACATTTTATACAGAAATGTATGAGTAATGAAAATAAATAAATAAATAAAATAACCTGTCAGCTAATCGTATAAAAATCCTTCGTCCACAACTTTTTTTTACGTTTTAATATTTTTTTTCTGGCATTGGGAAAACAGCGTCAACGACTTGTGTATAACTGAAATAAACGCCTTATTGCAAGCCTTTGTGAGTAGGAAAATAAGTCGAGAAATACAAAACAACAAGGTTTCACGGCAAAAAAAACAAAAATATTCATAGAAAACCAGTGGGGAAATACTGTTGTTTAGATTAACCAGGGGGGAGCAACTCTTGTAGCGGGCTCAGATTTGAGCTTGGTCAGTGGTAATTACCATGGGGAAAAGGGACCATATGACGTCAACAAAACTTCTGCGCACTGCGCAGAAGGCGAACTTCGCCATGTTTTTCGCTTCAAAAAGATGGCGGACAGTATTACTGAAATGGGAGGAGCAAGTCCTCCAGGAATTATAATATAGCGCAATGGGTAGAAACTAAACAAGGCCGAACCGAGGGCATTCTGACTTTGGGGGGGGGTTGTTTTTTAGTTAATAATATACTGCTCAAGCTGATGATATACTGACACAATTTACTAACGAAGCAAAATATTTCTTTAAAAGTATTCTATTATTGGGGCGGGAGCGAAACATAATCGTCCCTTATGCCTTGCAATGCCCAAAATACACTGGCGGTCAAAAAGAACTGCTCAGATGTTGCTATTGTCATATGTAAGAGGAATCGTAACAATCAATCTTTTATTGTACACTAGCGGTCAAAAAGAACTGTTTAGATACAAATTCATAAAGAAGAAGCGAATATAGGAGAGAGCTTCATTGGCATTTTGGACAATTCTCTTATTCCAAGCAATATTTCAGTAAAGAAATGCAACCTGCCACACTTCCAAGATGATCAAACAATGGTTTCATGGGAAGAGGGAGTGACAGAAATGGATTGGCCTGCACAGTCAAAATACCTTAACCCTATTGAAAATCTGTGGGACAATGTCAAGGGGATAGTGCAAGAAAGGAATTAATTCATAATGCGTTCATGATTTATGGGTTGCTTTAAAGACTGTCCATAGGATGAATTTCTTTTGACCGCTCAAGATTACCACCTTAACAGAAAGTATGCCACGCCTGTGTAAGGCCGTCATGAATTTTAAGGCCAAAGGAGGGTCAACAAAATATTAATATTTCATATAGCTTAGCATGTAATCTAGTCTGTATTTATTCGTATAAAAATTATATTGTTACAGGGACAGTTACGTTCATTTGAGAGCATTTTATAACTTGTTTTGAGCAGTTCTTTTTGACCGCTAGTGTATTTGCGAAACAAGTTGCATCGAGCGTTGCACAAAATACTTCTGACTTCTGCGTCGTGCACGCTTAATGCAATTTATCCCGCGACGGCTTAACTAGATGACTTATATGCAGTATGACACCGTGCAATAGGGATTAAAGCCAGAACGAGCCCGCATGGCCGGTAAGGAAATTTTTAGAGCCCTTTTAAAATCTTTATTAGATACCCTAATCTTCTAACAAAACGGCCGCTATTATGCCATATCTGCTAAATTCTCTGTACAGTATATCCATCGCAATATTGATTCGGTATCTTTCTAAAAGCATTTAATTTCGTGGCCAAAACATCCGAAATTGTTTAAGGGTCCAATAATTATTATGAGTCAACAGGTTTGCGGATCTGACTTGAAGAATCTATGCAGTATTGTGATGAAAGGCCACCGCTAATAGTCGTCAGTTATAGTTTAAACTTTCCGGGGGGTGAAATTCATATGTGTTTATAGCGAATTTCTCTCAAACATCGCAAATGCGCATGTGCCATCAGGCTGTTTACAATGGAAACGCAAGGAGCGACAGGGTTCTAGCATTTAGGCATTACGAGCATTCAGTAAGACACAGATATAATTTGGACGGTATATTCATTAAACAGAGATCTTGGAAGAAACAACGCTGTGCTGTTTATATATAGACATATCTTACGTGAATATAAGTTCTAGATGTTAAAAGGGTCTTAATTTTCGACTGGAATTATACACACTTCAAATTCAAGCTAGCAACAGTTGCTGGAAAATGCAACCTCCTTCGCAGCCCCTTTTCGCGCAAATACGTTGAAAATGAGTCAACTATCGGTCCTCTGGCAAGAATCGAACCTACGCTTTTGCGATGTCGGTGCAATGCTCTTGTTATACTGATCTATAATCTCTTACGTGAATATAAAGTTTAATAATAAATATTCTGTATACATATTTGATACTATGAACCAAAATTATTGATGTTTACTGCAAGTTTCTGGTTAAAATCAGTAACCTAAATTAAGAACTGCAATAACAGAATAACCAAACAAAGAACAAAGACGACAGCTTTGAAGTGACAAGACTGGCTTTTTGTATCGAAATTGACGATTTTTGTGTTCAGTTAAATTTGTATTACTATATTTCATGCATGTCGTACGTCAAAGTTTGACGGGTTTTCACACTTAAAGACATATTAAGGTCCATTTATTCCGTTCATAAATTCCTATAAGACACTTAATATCAGGCAAAAGGATTTAAAAGCTACTGTACCGGCTATAAACCAAAATGATTTATAAACTGCCATAAACTTGAATATTTTGTCAAATTTGAAGCAGAACTGAATAAAGGCACAAGTATGTGATATATAAACAGGTTATCACATGATTGACTCGGCTATATAAGTTATCGCCCTCAGGAGAAGATTAGAAACTGATATCACCTCAACCATGCATCGTGTGATAACCTATACTATACTTATTACCTATATTTATTGTTTGTCAATGAATGTTCTCTGGATTCAGTTTAATTGATTTTTTTATCAAACCTTCGACTCGGTACTTCGAGTCTTCTTCAGAATATCTAAATTATTTACTAAGAGCGACTAATTGGTTATTTTTAAGTTGATCTGATATGAGTTGTTGAGGGATGCGTTGTCATGGTTGACTGCATATCGTTGTCAGTGATGGTCGCTGTGAATTGATTTGTTTGTTGTGTTATTATTAGTTATATGAACGTGATTAGTTATAGTCCTTATGTTTTGTATTTTTTTATTATGTGATATTCTTATATCCTATAATATGTTTCCAAGAATACGTTTTTCGATTTTTTACAACAACACTGCCTTAAAATCCCTTTAAATTAAGCAATGCTTTGTTGCGTCAGTATTTGATCACGCCGGCTTCGTTGCATTCTGAGTGATATAATTATTTTGCTCTTTCCAGAAAACTTGACCACAAGAATGTAATAAAGTTTTATGGAAGAGCTTTGCAACCTGGTCCGAGTGGGTCGAAATTTGTCTTCGTGATGGAATTATGCGGAGAAAGTTTAAGGAAATTTTTCCTTGACCATCCAGATTGTATTCCAGCGAACGCACCAACAGAGAATGTAGATAAAAAAATCAAATCTGTGTTACAAAGAGCAAAGGAAATTGCGGCGGGGCTTGAATATCTGCATGGCCTTGGTATTGTTCATCGGGACTTAAAGCCTGAAAACATCCTGGTAAGTTGAATTTGTCATTGCAATAATCTGTCGTAATTTATTGATATGCTTTATGGTTTCATGGTATTGTATTCTATAGTTTCTTTTCGGGTGTCATAACAGAAAAACACCTGGATTTTCTTTACTTTAAGAAGCTTAAAGGTTGAAATATTCTGACTGTACTTGTGCGTAAAGACATAATGTAGTCCAAGCCAGTTTAAACCATGCATTCTAAAACAGTTGCTCTGCACAAGAATACGCAACTTTTTTCGATCTTTATGACAATTTTCTGTAATTTCCGGAGAAAGATCTTTGGGGAATTAAAGCCCATATCTTCCAGGCTAATGGAATCGAAATCATAAAGATTGGTAAAAACAATATCAAAAGTTTTGCTTCCTCCCGTTGGGATGTTAACAAGCTTGTTGAAATCGCTAGAAATACATAGAAATACATGCATGCATGAAATATTTTCTGAGCTGTCAGATCTTATAATTGAATAAAGCTGATAATTTTATTATGAATTGATTCAAATGAGTCAAAAGTTGATCATATATATAACATTTAACTAATTCTTTAATCGCAAAATAAAGCCGTCGCTACACGGTCTTTCACGCTAAGCTATGAAGCGACGACTATACAAAAATTCAATACATAGAGATTACTTCATGGTTGGCGAGTGCGTACGATTTTTATGCACGAGTTGTGAAGGATCGCATTTAATTGTTTATTAAGGGGCTGTTTACATGAGCCCTACAGGGAGGGCTAGCCCTACCAAGCGAGATCGCGCGTGCTAATATAAATCCATACTAAAGTACAATTACGTTTACATGAGAGGAGGGCCAGCCCTACCAGGCGAGATCTCGCCATTGACGTCTCGAGATCTCGCCTGGTAGGGCTGGAAATTTTCCATATAAACGCCGCAGGAAGGGCTAGCGCTCCCCATAGGGCTACAGATTTGACGAATACGCATGCGCTGAAGGAGTCAAATTTCAGCAATGGCGACAAGAAAAGGAAATGTGAGTTCCGGCACAAAAATTGTCGAGAATGCTAATAAGAAAAAGCAATTTCGTTGAACCGATGAAATGATAGAAAACTTAATAACATCTCTACATAAATTTAAAAGTGTTATGGAGTACAAAAACCTGGATTTTGACGGCGACAGAACTGTGCAATATACTTGGTTACGAGAAGAATTAGCACGTGTCCATGGAAATGACGATCTTTTTGGTCCTGTGAGCTTGTATTCTCCCACTATTCTTGTCGCTGATATGGATGAAGAGCAAAAACTCGAATACAAAGTCCAAGTTGCGAAGGACAAAGAAGCTATCAAGAAGGGCTATTCTCGAATAAAAGAAAAGGTAAAGTATTACGAGTTAATGTTGAGCACTTCTGTGAGTTTTTACTTTTTATACTCAAGGTAGTGAAGGTACAATACCTCAACTGATAAGTCTGATATATGCAATGGTCGATTAATCTTTTGCGCAATGTAATTTGAACTGTGATGTTTTTTTATGTAAATCTTTAAGGTAAAAGAGATTCGTCAGTCCTTTTCAAATGCTGTCTTAACTGGGAAAAGAAGTGGCAGCGGAAAGATTGTCTTTGAGCATTATGACAGACTTGTTTCCTTATGGGGTGGCGGTGCTGGAGTTACACCTCTCTCCTTTGGGGTAGATGCCAACAGTTTTATTCCAGATCAACAAGGAGAGGCTGGAGAGAAAGATTTAGATGACCGGTATATTGAAGATGAACAAAGAGATGACAAGGGTGATGATGGTGGTATCATAGATGATCATAATGATGAAATCACTACAATCAACGAGATTGAAGGAGATTCTACACATACGGTTGGGAAAAGAAAGAGTGTGAGTCAGGTGCCAAAACTCATAGACAACAAGAGAAAGCATATGGAGAAGAGTTTGTCTGCTTCACAAAGAGATCAGTTATTACTAACTGAGGCAAAGGAAGATTCCAAGTTTCGTAAGGATTTGGCACAAGCAATGCATTCCACTGTCTCGTTTTCCAGAGCATTGGAAGGTGTCAGTCAATCAATGATCCAAATTGGGGCAGGATTGTGCAGGTCATTGGACAGTTTAGCACATGCCATGCAGGATGCCCAGCCCCAACGTCAAAATGTCTACTATCAGCAACCAAATGGGAGCATTTTTGGTAACCATTTTTCCAGTGGACTATCTACTACTCCAGTTGGGTATGCCCATGAGTAGTATAGAGAATAGGGGTTCTGGAGCAGGCGGTGCAGGCGGTGTACGAGGCACCGCCGATGATGTCGTCGAGTCTTAAATATTTTAATTTATTCAGGTCATTTTAATATAGTTGAGCTTTGCCGGTTTGTTACTCAGCAATTTCGGTTTATTTTCACGCGATTTCGCTACCGTTTATTTATCTACATCGTTTGGTAGTGTCTGCGTACTTCATTACCGTTAGCTGTGTACAATTTTAGTTTATTTCACACAGTATATTGCTGATATGGTTACCGTTCATATATCTGTAGAGATTTTAAATTGCTGTCGTCTTTGTTTACAAAAGGTAATTTGTGAGCGCTACGGTGTGCGCTACGGTGTGCGCTACTCCCACGCTATCTACAAACCATAGTTTATATAATTATGTCTATTTCGATACCGTTTGTTTCGTTACAGTTTTAGCTTATTTCAGTGTAGTCTTTGTTGCTGTTTGTTTATTTACAATTTCTAGTTTATATTATTGGGTTACTGGCGGTTTGCATTTATTATGAAATAAGCTAAAGCTTTACTTCTTTCACTAGATATCTATCTAAATATCTATAATAATAGATATTTGATTTTAATTAGTATTTTATATTATGAGTGAAAATGCAAATTGTTCCATAGAACAGACAAGAACGAACACGTTCGAGCACGTTCAATAAATAGTTGTTAGTGCGCATGCGTGATACCTATTTCATCAAATCTTCTCCCACAATCAAACGATGAAGGTTTTGTGTATATATACGGCGGTTTGATCGAAAACTTCATTCGTCGGTTTCGTCCTGCAAATTCGAACGTCGATTATTTTTGCGACTTGCGAGAAATACTAAAGACAGTTGACAAAGGAGATTAGGTAAGATGCATTAACTAAAGTTCAATTATTATAAAAAATACTAAGATTTAGTTCAATTATTATGAAAAGCACTAAGAAATCGCTTCTTAGTAGTTGCTGTGCCCTTGTTTGCTACACCTATGAAGAAATATCTGAGGTGTCCCTTGGGAAAGTCATGCAACGAACGGTTTAGTTGTTAATAGTGCAAAGAGCCGATTCCTAGTAGTTGCTGTGCCCTTGTTGGCTGCACCTATGAAGAAATATCTGAGGTGCCCCTTGGGAAAATCATGCAATGAACGGTTCAGTTGTTAGTTCGAATAAATCGCTTCTAAGTGTTGCTGTACCCTTGTCGCCTGCACCTGCGAAGAAAGAATCTGAGGGGCCCCTTGGGAAAGTCATTCAACGAACTAGCGGTGGCTGTACAAATTTTATTCAGTACTTCTGTCACAATAAGATGCTAAAAGTGTTCTGTTTATATTTAATAGTTTGATAATTATCATCGTTAAGTTGAAATCCAAAGAGTTGCTGTATTGAGGGTAAGTGTTTACAATTTCAACTAGTTTGAGTTGTTTCCGCTTGGGAATGTCTAGCAACGAACTGGTGGTTGTAGTCAGTGAAGTTTATTTAGGGCTGTCTGACGACAAAGCCATTACCTTCGCATGCGTGATGTTTTAATTTTATTCTCCCACAATAAGATGCTAAAGGTTATGTGTTTATATTATGCTACAGGTGTTGACGTATTGTGTTTATGTATCTATGGCTGCAGTTGCTAAAGGAGAATTCAATTTTCAATTTATAGAATGTCTTTTACATGCAAAGCCTGCACCAAGAACTTTACGCAGCTGAGAAGTTTAACTCGTCATGAACGGTCCGTGCATGGAGAGAAGAAGTTTGTCTGTGATCAATGCAGTGCGTCCTTTACACGAAAGATGATTTAAAGCGGCATAAGAGGCGGCACGAAGGAACAATCACACATATCTGCAAAAATTGTAGGAAAGAGTTTCATCGTCGTGATAATTTAGTGGGACATCAAGTTCAATGTCAACGGAATCCTTTGAAAAGAGGATGTGACGAAGACCGAGACGAAGACGATAGCAGTCCAACTCCAAAGAAAATACGAGTTCAAGTTGAAGAAGATGAACCCGATAATCAAGTCGAAGAAGATAACCCTTGCAGTTCTACTTCGGCGTTTGAAGATTCCTTGAAGAAGATTGAGTTAAAACCGCGGAAAGATCAGAAACAGGACGTGTCCCACTTCTTACGCAGCAAGGCAAAATCCATTTTGAGACACCTTTCCAACGAATTAGCAGAGAAAAGAGGCATCAAATGGTTCATCAGTGTTAAAGTACGATTCGTCAAACCCAAACCCAATGGCGAGAGTCTGACTACCGAATCCCACTTCCGCAGTCTCTGCATGAAAACAGTAGACCAGCACGAACTACATAATCAACTAGAGGAGGCCAAGCAGAAAATTACCCAGTCACTAGTTTTATTTCAAAAAGAAGGAAGTGGTTGGGTATTAGACGAAATCCTTCATCTTGACCTGAGTATAGCTCAGTATACTCCAGTAAAAGGATCCAGCTACGTCCCTCTTCCCAGCAAGATAAAGGCCAAGAAAGCAGTAATCAATTATCGGTCCTCGCCGCTCTTCATCCAGTGAAACAGAGTGCAGAGAGATTGCATCATTATCAACAGTTTCAAGATGAACTAGATTTTGCTGGTATTGAGTTTCCTGTTACTGTTGACAAGATTGGAAAATTTGGGCGTCAGAACAATATTTCCATTAACGTGTTTGGCTTCGAAGACGTGCTTTTCCCCTTGTATATCACAAAAGAACACTTTAATACCCATGTGAATCTGTTGCTATACTCCCAGGGAGAAACTAGGCATTACTGTCTTATAAAAGATCTGAATAAATTCCTTTACAGTCAAAACCGTTACAAAGGTCG